CTGCCTGGCGATGAACAACAATCGCTGCAACTGGCCGCGTGGCAAAGTCATGGGCGGCAGCTCCGTTCTGAATTACATGATGTATACGAGGGGCAATCGCCGGGACTACGATCGCTGGGAGGAACTGGGCAATCCTGGCTGGGGCTGGAAGGATGTGCTGCCGTACTTCAAGAAATACGAGGGCAGCAGCGTACCCGATGCCGAGGAGGAATTTGTCGGACGCGATGGCCCAGTGAAAATTAGCTATGTGAACTGGCGCTCCCAGATTTCCAAGGCCTTTGTTGAGGCGGCGCAGCAGGATGGCTTGAAATACCGCGACTACAATGGACGTATTCAGAACGGTGTCGCCTTCCTGCACACGACCACACGCAACTCTACGCGCTGGAGCTCCAATCGTTCGTACCTTTACCCCATCAAGGGCAAACGCCCCAATCTGCATGTGAAGAAGAACGCGCTGGTGACCAAGGTGCTCATCGATCCGCAGACAAAGACCGCATATGGCATCATGGTGCAGACCGATGGACGCATGCAGAAGGTGTTGGCACGCAAGGAGGTGATTGTCTCGGCGGGCGCCATCAATACGCCCCAGCTGCTGATGCTCTCGGGTGTGGGGCCCGCCAAGCACCTGCGCGAGGTGGGCATCAAGCCCATTGCGGATCTGGCTGTGGGCTACAATCTTCAAGATCATACGGCGCCGGCGGTTACCTTTCGGTGCAATGTCAGCTCGCTGAAGTTGGACAAAGTGCTAAACACCGACACGATAGGCAGCTTTCTGCGTGGTGACGGTCCGCTGCGAAGTCCTGGCGGAGTGGAAGCTATCTCTTTTTATGCCCTGGATGTCAAAGACGATACCAAAGACTGGGCGGACATGGAACTCTTCGTTACGGGCAGCGGCATACATTGGAATCCGGCATTGCGACGGGTCTTCGGCATCCGGGCGGACGTCTATGAAGCTGTCTTTGGCGAAATGGAGCGCACCAATGCCGATGCCTTCATGATCTTTCCAATGCTGCTGCGAGCCAAGAGTCGCGGCCGCATTAGGCTCAAGAGTCGCAATCCGCTGCAGCATCCACTGATCGATGCCAACTACTTTGCACATCCTTATGATCTCAACATATCAGTTCAAGGCATACGGCAGGCGATCAGCCTAATGGATCAGCCAGCATTTCGGGCGATCAACGCCCGAGTGCTGGAGACGAAGGTGCCCGCCTGCCGCCACCACGGCCACCAGACCGATGCCTACTGGACGTGCTATGCGCGCCATTTCACCTTCACGATCTACCACTATTCTGGCACGGCCAAGATGGGACCGCGCAGCGATCCCAGCGCCGTGGTGGACGCCCGCCTGCGCGTCCATGGCATCAGCAATCTGCGTGTGGTGGATGCCAGCATAATGCCCTATCTAGTTGCAGGTCATCCCAATGGGCCAGTCTTTTTAATAGCCGAGAAAGCCGCCGACATGATCAAAGAGGATCACAACTACACCTAGCAACTAAATATATACCAAAGTCTTGCTCGCAGTGCTTGTCCAAGAGACAAATCATACAGGAAATTAGGCCTAGTCTTGGGGAAATTTGTGATATTCGACAAAGATTGTCAAATTAAAAAGTTGTTACACTTATAAGGGTTAACTAATAATTAAACTACGAAATATTTAAAGTCATATAAATGTTTTTCTGTGTGCAGTGTTTACTCATTGAAAGTTGATAAACTGAGAAATGAGCAGCAAAATTGCTTCAAGCATAAAGCGTAAAGCATCGTAAAGCAGATATGAGATAGCCTCGTCGATCGCTCTACTGCTCAATAAAGGGCATGATGAACAAAAATCAATTGATCGAAAGCAAAAAATCAATTCTGATAAAATATCATATCATATAGGTGATCTTGTCTTGTCTTGATTGGCCGTACAGATTTATGTGTTGCTGTTCGGTGGGTTGACATATTATTGGTAATAAAAATGAATTGAACGCATGCTTGACGCCCTTCCGCATTGGTCGTCCGCGCAACAGAATATCGATCTTTGAGCGAGACTATCGTTGATCGTTTGGGCCCTAGATTGCCCTTTGGTCGCCTGCAAAGTGCAGAGCGTTTCGCAGCTTCCGCAATTTGGTCAATGGTCGGAGCCGATGCTGTGTGATCATGTGAACGATCAGCTCAAGTCAATGTCAGTTCGCTCGCTCAAATCTGGCTTTCAATTTGATTTTTGTGAACGTGTCGACAGTCATGGCAATGCTGCGGCTATGCTGCTGCTGCTGCTGCTGCTGTTGCTGAGGCTGCTGCGGCTACTGCCGCTGTTGCTGCTGCTGCTGCGGCTATGCTGCTGCTAGTTTCTACTCTGAAGATTCTTGGCAGTTATTGTTGACGTTAAAACAACGAGCGCGGAGCCGATCGTGCAGCCGCTGCCGAAAAAGATTCGCAAACACGATTCGGCCGCAACGGCAGCGCTTATATTTAATATTAAATTGAACTTGGCCAGAGCGATTGTCAGCATTACCAGTTAAGCGTCCGATTGGGCAAGACGAACTAACGGCACGGGCCACGCATGCGCGCACAGTCCGCACTCTGAAGGCGAACACGCAAACGTCTTAGAACCAATCAAGAACCAAGCTAACTCTGTTCTCATTTACATTTTTTTTACAATTTTTTATTCGTACAAACTTATTGAAAAGTGCAAGTGAAGTGCTAACTAAGAACATGGCCAAAATGAATCATTGCCAAGTACTGCTGTGGCTGCTGGCTGGCCTGGCTCTGGCTGCTGCCCAGAGCGAAAATGTGATATTGGAGACTCTGAACTTTCTGCGACGCGGCCAAACGGAAGTCAACCTGGAGAACTATGACAACACCATACAAATGGGCGCCGAATATGACTTTATAGTCGTCGGCGCTGGCACCGCCGGCTGTGCACTGGCCGCACGCCTCTCCGAGAATCCCAAGTGGAACGTGCTGCTGCTGGAGGCGGGCGGACCGGAGCGCCTGGTCATGGACGTGCCGATTGTGGCTCACTTTCTGCAGCTGGGCGAAATGAACTGGAAGTATCGCACGCAGCCATCGGATCACGCCTGCCTGGCGATGAACAACAATCGCTGCAACTGGCCGCGTGGCAAAGTCATGGGCGGCAGCTCCGTTCTGAATTACATGATGTATACGAGGGGCAATCGCCGGGACTACGATCGCTGGGAGGAACTGGGCAATCCTGGCTGGGGCTGGAAGGATGTGCTGCCGTACTTCAAGAAATACGAGGGCAGCAGCGTACCCGATGCCGAGGAGGAATTTGTCGGACGCGATGGCCCAGTGAAAATTAGCTATGTGAACTGGCGCTCCCAGATTTCCAAGGCCTTTGTTGAGGCGGCGCAGCAGGATGGCTTGAAATACCGCGACTACAATGGACGTATTCAGAACGGTGTCGCCTTCCTGCACACGACCACACGCAACTCTACGCGCTGGAGCTCCAATCGTTCGTACCTTTACCCCATCAAGGGCAAACGCCCCAATCTGCATGTGAAGAAGAACGCGCTGGTGACCAAGGTGCTCATCGATCCGCAGACAAAGACCGCATATGGCATCATGGTGCAGACCGATGGACGCATGCAGAAGGTGTTGGCACGCAAGGAGGTGATTGTCTCGGCGGGCGCCATCAATACGCCCCAGCTGCTGATGCTCTCGGGTGTGGGGCCCGCCAAGCACCTGCGCGAGGTGGGCATCAAGCCCATTGCGGATCTGGCTGTGGGCTACAATCTTCAAGATCATACGGCACCGGCGGTTACCTTCACAACGAACGTAACATCGCTGAAATTCGAGGACTTTGCCGATCCCACATGGCTGACTCGCTTCAACCGTAGAGAGGGACCGTACGGTTCGCCCGGTGGCTGTGAAGCTATTGCCTTCTGGGATCTGGATCATGAGAGCGACGAGGATGGCTGGCCAGATATTGAACTGTTTATGGTGGGCGGCTCCATGTCCTCCAATCCAGCCATATCACGTGCCTTTGGCCTGAAGAAATCCATTTACGATGCGCTGTTCGCCGAAATTGAGGACAAGTCGCTGAACGCATTCATGATCTTCCCCATGATTCTGAGACCGAAGAGTCGCGGTCGCATAATGCTTAAGAGCAGCGATCCATTTAAGTATCCGCTGATTCATGCCAACTACTTTGCCCATCCCTATGACGTCGACATTTCGGTGCGTGGCCTCCTTAAGGCCATTAGCCTGATGGACCAGCAAGGCATGAAGGCCATTAACGCCAAGCTGTGGGAGCGTAAGATTCCCACATGCAAGCAGTATCCCTACAAGAGCTGGGCCTACTGGACCTGCTATGTGCGGCACTTCACTTTCACCATTTATCACTATTCCGGCACCGCCAAGATGGGGCCCAAGTCAGATCGGGCGGCCGTTGTGGATGCGCGCCTGCGCGTTCATGGCATACGCAATTTGCGTGTTGCAGACGCCAGCATCATGCCCGAGATCATGTCTGGACATCCCAATGGACCGGTCTTTATGATCGCTGAGAAGGCTGCCGATATGATCAAGCAGGACTATGGCTATATCAAATAAGTGCGAGGCCTAGCGTCAGCTTAGGTTTACGCTTACTTCTGATTTAAGCAGCGTTCTACAACTCCTAGCTGAAAGTGCCTTCAGCTGTAGTCTAATCTGGATACACAGAACGGGTCGCTATTTAGATCTTCTTGTCAATTTCTTTACCTCCATAATGAACTGATTTTAATTTAAGTTACTCACTAAGCAAACAATAAATATTCTAAGAGACATTTAAAATGATTTACTGGTTTTTATATTGCTTGCTCCTCTTCACTTTCCAGCGAAGATTTTTTAACAATGATAAACATTTCGACTGTGGGGCTTGGGAACAAGCCGGTACTGGTTTTGACTTTGACATTGGCATTGACATTGACATTGGCATTTCATTTCCATTTCATTACTACTCCGCTTAAGCTGGAGTTTTGTAGCTCATAAATATAAATAATTTTAATGAATATATAATATATAGATAGAGAAATATCACTAACCATAACTAACTACCCGAATCTGTATCTGTATCTGTATCTGTATCTGTATCTGTATCTGTATCTGTATCT